AAATTATACCCCGTGCGTTCCATATAAAGTCAAAGTATAATCTGTTGCGGACCCAAAGTTCATAAACTACATCTTAAGTTGGGTTGGACTCAACAATATTAGCCAGAGTCCATGACGCTTAACGTTACCCAATCATATTTACATTGCAGCTTAGTCCACTGCCGTACACCCTACACAAAGCGAGCAGAACGAATTTGTTGTCGCATTTGTCTCGTACGTGGCAACGTGCTGATGGCCTACGCTTTTGTCTGTTGCTCGTATAAAATTTTTGCCTTCTGCTATGCACTGTACTGAGCGCTTCGTTCGTATACGTAGATACAGATACATAAAGCCAGCCGTTGTACTGGCGCAACCGTCGATTTCGCGCCTCACCACCACCAAGCCCGCGCTTGCCATCACATTCGACTCGTAATACCTCGACTGCTTTGCTGCCTATTCACTCGTTCGTTTCTGCTGCTGCTGCTGCCGTTGCTGCTGCTCAGCAAACTGGCTGTGGCCGTGCCTGTATGTCGCTGTAGCTCTATAGAGCGCAGTACACAGAGATACAGCGAAACGAACCAAACGGCCGAAAAAGTGTCGTTCTGGTCGAAATCGCTTGTGCTCTACCTGAACCTTTTCCCTTAAGTCTTGGGTGTTTATGAGGAAATATAGTATCTTTTTGTATTCGATATATGATCCCTGTTACCTGGAGAACTGGAACAGCACATATGTGAATCATAAATTAAAACAATGACGGCCATAAAATCTCATAATCAGCCCTGTTCTCTGTTCGAATTCTATGAAGTTCTGCGTCATCGAAATTGGTGAGACCATAAAGCTGCTCGGCTTCAAAAATGTTGATCTCGCGGTAGTCTTTAACTCTCCAGTTTCTTGTTTTTAAAAAATGAAGCAATTTTGAATCTGCATTATAAATAAATTTGTATATGTTCCCTAATCAAATACAATTCCAATCTATATATACATATGTGCTTCCAAAAGATTACCTAGTTTTAAAACATCACTAAGTAGAACGCTAAACAACATTAAGTATTATACTGGCAAACGCTCAGGAATTTGTGATCCTATATTTATAATTACTTTATTTAAGACGAAATGTTCGAAAGGAGGCCTAGAATAGTGATAATTTGAATAACATGTTCGAATAAATGCTTTAAAACAGTTTCTAAATTGAGGCAGAAAGTCAAAAAACAGAATCGTGTGATCATTGCAGAAATTATTGCTCGATTATAACTTAATTTCCTCGAATATATAAAGAGTTTTAAAACCTGAACCATTAATAAAAAATAAAACATTTTGTTCTTCATAATAAACTATACAAAATGACTTTATGACATCCCCAGATCATGAACAGAATATGAAGACTTTAACGAGTTATTTTTTGTACAGTAAGAAATCTTAACCAGGGATAAGAATCATAAAAGTATATTTCTATGTAATATCACTAGTTAAAGAAATGAAATACCTTCAGCATAGCGCAACAACAGATTTAATAATGTTTTTTTTTACCAAATAATTGAGTTGAACTTTTTTTGAAAGTCGAAAATAGTTTTATCACCTATCATAAAAATAACCCCTTTCTGTTTCTAACAATACTAGGATTTACAGAAATAAATTGCCATTAAATTGTTTTTCTTGAATATAAAGCGAGCACATGGGATTTTGGGGAGGAATATTTAGGAAAGTCAGGAAAACCGAACTGTGTAGCGCACCACGAGTATGACAAGCAAACCAGCCACAATCAGAAAGCAGGCAGGCAGGCGGTCATATTCAACGTCGTTCAACATTTGCTCTGACTCTGCGCTCTTCGTTGTTGGCCCCGCCATTGCCGCAATACTCCCCTCTCTGGCCTACGAGTGGTGCCTGGTGCTGGTGCTGGTGCTGCCGCTGCCGTGTTTTGTTCATATAACGAACGAAACGAAATTTTTGTTCAGCTACCCATACACACACACATACGTGTACGTGTACGTGTTCGAGTACGAGTACAGGCGAGCTGGCAGGCATGCCAGATACACACGTATCCGTATCTTTGTGTGTGTGAATTTATGTGAGTGTATGTGCGCATACTGTGCTGCTGCCTCTGCCTCTGCCTCGGCCTCGCACTCGCACACACAACGGCCACTGCCACAGCCATAGCCAGCCATAGCAAGCCAGCCAACAGCCAACGGGCAACGAACGAACCAACGAACGAACAAGCGTACAAGCGTAGAAGCGAACCAACGAATGTACTACGAACGAACACAGATACAGATACTTTTCACGTACTGGGGTACTGCTGCCTGCGTTTGCGTCGTATAGAGAGCTCTGTAGCTGTAGCTGCTGACTCTGAACTGTTGGCTGCCTGGTGCTTGGGCCTTTGCTGGTTGCTGCTTCGTGCATTCGTTCTGTGTATTTGATATTCCACTGAAGGCAAAAGCGCTGAACAAAACTGACTTGGGTTTTTAGTAGAAGAAAATTTATAAAGTGAACAAACTGTAGTGTAAAAATTTTGTGTGTGGCTGTAGTGCGGCAATTAAATAGCAAATTACACCGAATTTTCATACGGGTGAGTGAAAAGTGTCTCACTACAATCGATTTAGCATATATTAAATTAGTTTATTTTTGCAAAAAGCTACGCATTCGTGGCGATTTATTATATAAAATTTTCTAAATAAACTAAACGACCCAATTTGCGGCGTGGGTTTCTCGTATCAAGCAAAAGTATATGGCTGCCTAGCTGGCTGGCTGGCTGGCTGGCTGGCTGGCTGGTTGACTCGTTGGCCATACAAACATGGCTGCCGACTGCCTCTGCCTTGCTGGCTCTGTTCTGCTCTGCTCTGGCTTGGTGCTCATATTGTGGCGCTCGGCAGGCAACGATATTGAAATGAAATTTTGAATGGAGGGCGCGCGCGAATAATTGACGGTTATTTTTTGAAAATACAAGTATATACACTGTCTAGGCGCTACGTGGTCATGTACTGGATGGCGAATATGTTTCAATATTGTCATATGGGCGCATGGCCGGGGGTCATGTAAGCACTAATAACAACAAATACAACAACAACAACAACAACTACTACTACTAGTACAATAATAAGTAAAATTGTTGATTATTCAATAGCAAGGGGTAAAGAAAAAAAATCAAAAACGAGTGTATGTTTAACGTTTAAATATGATTATTAAAAGGAATAAATAAATTAATTGAACGGCAAATTGAAGAAAATGAATAACTTTTAGGTATCTGCATACCTTTATAGGTATTTAATTGAAAATTATTTTTGTTTTTTTTTTGTTTTTTGTGAAGTTGTAAATTTGTTGATTGATGACGCGTTTCATTAGGGACGGTAGCGGGCGGTTTGTCTTCAATAGTCACGGTTGTTTCTGAGTGGGAGGGGGGTGAGAGCCTTAACGTGAAAGTTTGAGGGAGGGGGGGGGGGGGAGGGGGCGATGGGCGGTTGTTTCCGTAGAGGGGAAGGGGGTCAGGGGGTCAGAGAGGGGTGTACTATGCATATGTTGGTACAGTTGTATGGCATGTATGTAGTTAGTGTTGGCCTGTTGGACGGTCGGTCGGCTTGTCGGTTTAGGTGTGCGGGGTGGCTAGGAGGGGTTTTTCGCTGTTGGAGAGGGGGGAGAGGGTCTGCAACGGTTTGAGGCGCTCATTGTGGTTATATGTGACGAGTGTGATGGCGTCGGCGACGACGACGACAACGTCTATGGCAGTGACGGCAGCGGCGCCGCGGCAAATGCTACTGGCATTTCGTTCGCACAAAGCTACAGAGCGCTTACGCTCGCTCCACACGCTTTCATATGGGTGAGCAGCAATGAGCAGCGAGGTACAGTCGCGGCAAAAATAGTCAAACATTAAATGTGTTGACGCCAAAGCACGCTCTACCCTGTCCCACACCAATTATTTTACATCGTTGTCAAAGTTGTTGGAAGCGTTCGCAACAATGAAATGAAATAATGAAATTAGTATTTTAAAAAGTATTCCATAATATTTCAAATTAAAAAGTATTCCATAATTAAATATTCAATTCCAAGATCTCATGAATTTTTTTTCGCATTTATTTTAAATTTTTTGTTTAACATAAACATGACGGTGATTTTTAGTTATAACTGTCCATTAAAAGTGTTTGGCGAAAGACTCTCTTGGCCTTGGCTCCATGTATTCAAAATTGACGTATTTCAATTCTTTCCAAATATCTAGCTTTAAAATTGTACAAATGTTCATTATTATTAGTCATTTATATTGAATTATTTTCAACTCGTCGTTACTATTATTTTTGCTTCTTTAAATATAATTGTTTGAAAATTAAGATAACATTTTGTTAATACAAATAACTACCTTTTTGATATTCTGAATGTACTTTTACATTATATGTATATATAGTGAATAGTTGTGATTAGTTTTAATATTTGAGATAAACCAATTCCTATCATCATGAATAAATTATAATTATATACCTGTCACCATATTCTGCGCCATCATTGTTAAGATGCAGAGCCAAATTGTACATGCAACTTAGATGATGGTGGACTAGTTTTCTGAGCCGCCACTGTGCAGCCACCGTGAAAACGCAAATTCTTTTCTTCACACAAGTGCAAGCAGCTGTGTACACGCGTTTTGCCACCACTGTGCCCACTACACGTTCTGCTGTGGTTGTGGCGGGCCCGGCCCGGCCCGGCCTCGCCGTCTACCCGCCATTGCCAGCCGCCCGCTCTCCCGTTGCCTCTTCGCTGTCTATGTCTCTGTATCGGTTGGATTGTTCGACTCTCTGATACTTTTGCTGCTGTGTGCTGTGCGGCCGCTTGCCTGCCTGCCTGCCTGCTTGTGTATTTTGATGGTCTCGTTGCTCACTCGCTCGTATGTACGTATGTACGTACGTATATATGTATGTATGTATGTATGTACTACGTAGGTTGTTCGACTGAGCGCTGCGTGTGTATTTCGCTTCTGCCTTTGGCTTTTCGCTTGGTACAGCTGCTTCAGTTGAATTTCAGTTCAGTTTCAGTTTTCTATGGCCGTTGCGCCGCAGTACATTTTGTTCGGTTTCAGTTCAGTTTCAGTGCCGAGACAGAGGCAATTTTCTGCTGCCATACCATACACCCAAAGCAGCAGTTCGACCAGCTCGGGCACAGAGCGGCCAAAAGTGAATTCAACTAAACTGTTCGTTCAGCCAACGTTGAGGAAATCAAAGTACGTACATGTACGTAGATATTTTCATTGGTAACTTGACTTACATGCTCGTATGTGTGGCTAGCTACATTTTGTTCTGAGCACTTCGAGGTATTGGATGGCAGGACAGTGAGCGGCGTATAAGTAATACAGCCTTTATTTAAAATGGTCCACTGAGGCATATTAGTTGATGTTCGATTTATGATTGACAGGTCAATTGTTATACAAAGCAACATCATTTAAATTATTTGAATTGCCAACTGATTTCCGTATAAAAGAACATACATATATATCGCTAATTAATTTGTTGGTTGTGAAATAGATTTAATTGATTATATTGAAATGAGATGATGTTGTCACAAAAGTGATTTAATTAACAAATTATTAAAATAATCTAGAGTAAAGGTGAAATGATTTTAGCATTAAAAACAAATAATAATAATTCCTGAGGTTTAATTTAATTGTATAAACACTTGTTTATCCAAATATTATTCTTGCAAGTTCTATTAGCGATAATTCAAGTTTATTATTCTTAGATCTATAACTTATACGTACATACATATGTGCCAATATTGGTAGCCATGACTGTAATTAATACGATGGTGCACCATCAAACGTAGCAAGTAACTGCGTCGCCTGTTTTGCATTTCGTTTTCGATTTCAGTCATTGTTTTGGCTGCGTTGCCGGGTACGTTCCACCCACCTGTCGCTAATTTCTGCGACGCCGGCCAGAAGAAGAAACCTTTGGCTAATTGCGACAAATAGTCCACAACCAATGGAATGTCTCTCGACATATTCTTGGCATTTGGCACTCAACAAATCCTCATGCATCGTACATCCTTCACAATGCGTTTTATGTTCCAAATCCATTGTTGTACAAGATGTTTTTGTTTTTCATCTACCGTGCAAGTCCACCTAGTAAAAGGGGAAAGTAGGCTGGTCGGGAAATTTTGAAACATAAATTAGCAAGACTGTTGTTATCCATGACAACAATTTGGAAACTCTATATTATGTTTATTAAGGATTCTCAAAGAACATTTGGAGAATAATCGAGGGAACAAAGTGTACAAATCATATAGAGAAAGAAATATAACCCAAGAAATTCTGACATTTTATGTTAAATTGTGTATGAGCTATAATTTACAATAAAGAAATATAACCCAACAAATTCTGATAGAAACATATTTCATTTTACTCAGACCAAATAATATCTAGTGGCTAAATAAAAATTATTCCAGAGAGCTGAGCACAATGTTATTGCTAAAGGGCAACTTTTAAAATAGCAAAAAGAACCGCTCTTGTGAAATATGCCGACCTACTCTGAAAACGGTAAAGCCCCAATTTATCCAAAACAAATTTGTCAGTTTCCGCAGAAAATTTTAGCCGAAATTTCGACGGTTTCAATTAGTCAATGATTTCAAATATTGAACGTATGAGTATACATAAAAATATGTATAGTACATATATTTAAAATACAAGGGCGTACGCAGGGGGGGAACACTGAGTTGGATTTTTTGAAGTTTAAATCCTGTGACTCTTTTATGTGAGGAAAGTAACAATCCGAAAAATTAATTAACTGAGAGGACATCAACCTTTCGGCAGCTATTTCTATGTGTTTTTAAAATTGCTTAAGTTTTGTAAAACATCATTTCTACATAGACATATGTACTTACCTTGTACCTTTGATAATAACTACAAGTAATACCTCTACATTTGTTCAATGTAAGAGTTAAGTTCGCCAACTTAGGCGCATTGAAAACGCTTGACAAAAATTGCATCAAAAGCACTTCACATGCTTGGGCCTACGCTTATGGCTAAAACGAAGTCTCAGCAATAGCCAATGGTCACGTTTCAGTTGTTTATTTTTGAATAGCTTCAATTTCAGAACGTAAATTGTGGTGTAGTATACCAATAGCTATAGCTTTATTTACAACTTTATTTGGACATGAGGCTGCGATGCATGCCGGCCACTCAAAAAAAAAAGTCTCAGTTTGCAAAGATAAATAAGCTGTATACATAATACAAATATGTATGTGTGTAACTTATTAATATCACGTGTTCAAATCATTTAAAATCTTGTTTTTGGTAAACAAGAAATAGTAATTCTTGTTGGAGATTTAGTAAAAAGGTTTTCAATTGCTTTTTAAGTTTTATTCGAAGTGCATTTTCTTTTTTCCGTTCCACCGGAAAAAACTTGTTTGATTTTTAAATTGATTTTTATTGGTATTAATAGTTCAATGAAGAGCATCGGAAATATTTTATTTGTTCTTAAAGTAAATGTTAAAAGTTCTTTAAGTGTTTTTCTTTAGTGTTCTCATTAAAAAACACGCACACTTCATTCATCCCCAAGAGGGAGCCTGTTGACACAATTTGAACATGTGACAAAATGATAAGATATCTGGGTTTTATTGTGCTATAACTCGGAACAGGGTCTCAAATATAGCTAAGTAAAATCGATTATTTATAACAAAAAGCTCGGAACTAAACCACGCTACGTAACTATATTTTCATTATGTAAATGCTTTTAACAACGATTGCTTGAATTATTTGCAAAAAACTTAGACGTATCACAGCACTACAAATAGAGCGATACGTTTAACAAGAGAGAACGCTACAGTCCTGCAAGCCCGACAGTGTAATACCCTGTACCCAGGTAAACTTGCGTCACTGAGTTATATGCGCCCATAGCAGCAGCAAAAAGAGGAAGAAGAAGAGCGAACTTGTTGCTGCAGTTTAGGGGGTTGTACTGGCAAGAATTTGTTTTGCTAATAACTTTTCTTAGAATTGACCGAATTGAATAAAATTGAACAACAATAGACAATTATATATAAATTATGTGTGCAAAGTTTGGTTTAGGTAGCATTTGAAATGTGGACGCTATTGACGAAATTCTGTAGCGGGGGAAGGGGGGGAAAATTAAAAAAAATAAAATAAACTCGTCCTTACTCGGACCTAGGAGAATCTGGATGCCAACTTTGGTTATTCCAGCTTTTATAGTTTCCGAGATCCTTGCGTTCATCCAGACGGACGGACAGACGGACGGACATGTCTAGATCGATTTCTCTCGTCATGCTGATCAAGAATATATATACTTTATGGGGTCGGAGATGCTTCCTTCTGTATGTTACATACTTTGCACAAACCTAATATACCCTTTTTACCCTACGGGTACAGGGTATAAAAAAATACAGAAACTTGTCTTTAAAACAGTACTGGGACATTGATTGTCTTTTCTTCGGCTGACATGGAGAGTAGAATATCAAAAAATATTAAAAACATCGCTGTGAAAATATATGTATATAAGATATTCAATAATCGAGAATATGTAACCTTTAGAAAACATCAAATAACTTTTAACTTCTTTAAACAGCAGCAACACTGTCACTTTAAGCATTCGGCTTAAAACACTCCAACTGGCAATAGCTGACTTTTGAATGACAAATTGTTAAGATTTTACAAAACACTTGGAGTTAGTTCGATTACACTTTTCGCTATAATGGTATTAAAAGTCTGGAGTCTGGCACAGATGACAGCTAATTGAAGTATTGAACCAACAATAGGGGCTAATCACAAATTCATAATTTGTAATCAGCTGTACAATTTAAATAATATTAATTTGATTCCACGTGCACACACGCGACTGCCAATTCTAAATAAGTCAGTAAATAAAAACACTAGACGGATCTTTGTTTGATTAATTTCTTTTGGAAAAATATTTTGTCCGTTTTTCATTTGTTAGTCTTCCTTTGCTTGTTTGGGAATAGATTAGAGCAACAAGTAGTTACGCTATTTGATATAAACAAGCTTAAGCAACACCCATACATACGTACATACATACATACATACATATGTATGTACTTATGACCTGACTATGACTGTTCTGTCTCGTATTTTTCTTCTAGCCGATGACTTCCGCGTCTTATTTGTTTTGCTTGTTTCGTATTTCGCGCGCGTTAACATTTCGCGCGCGGTGAGCTCCAATGGGGGACTAAATTGGCGCCAAAAGTTTTCTACATTACATACATATGTACATACCCGTACATACATACGTGAAAGAATCGTACGTTGCTGAGCGGCAGTGAGAGCGTGCAAGTTCCGAGCACACTTGCATACAAGTAGACTCTGTGGAAAGCTTTTGCCGTGGCACTTATATTCTTGGTGGAATTGATATCAATTTCCAAAAACGTTTGTCTTTGAGTTCAAAAGCTCAGTTTACGATTGAATAGTCGAATTGTTTTTTAGAAACTGGACAAATGCACCAATTTCACATAATGGGAGCGAAATCGGAAATGAGAACAGGTTGGCATGCGTTCTCAAAACGATCATTAACCTGACGCTTCGTTAAGTGCTGACAGGTCGAGTACGCTGAGTTTTGGCGCCGGCGCTGATTTTGCTGCCTCTGCCGACTGCTACACAGTGCTCTCTCTTCTTGCTTTGGGACTGTCGTGACTCGTTCATTTACTGGGCTGTCTGCTTGTCCGACTATCCGTCACTATTATCGTAGTGATTGTTGACATTGCGCTTATTGCTGTCGCTATGTGTAGTTGTTGTTGTTGTGATTTGACGATCTTCACATTGTGAGCTTTGTAATATGTTTGTTTGTTTTTTCCTGTCTTCTTTCTTTGAGAAAGCTTTTGTGTTCAAAACGCACACATTGTTCAAGTGTATGATTTTCAACAGATTTGCGGGCTTATTCCGAGAAATTCTTATCTATAGTGCTGTGCATTGTAATGTGTGTGACAGCACATTTTGCTAATGTAAATGAAAATAAATCGATTTGATAAATATGTAATAATTGCTTATTACATTTCATTTTATTTATTCATGCTTAGGAACAAATATTCAACGAAAATTTAAATTCTTTCAAATTGAACAAACACTAACCAGAATTATTTATTTCAATTTTGTAAAGTTAATGGTTGTAAAAAGCAGGAAAAATATTTCTTACATTTTTGGAAAACAGGAAATTCAAAAAACTGCTCGGAATTCATATTTTTATTAAACATGATAGAAAATATTATTTGCTCGTCGTATTAAAAATATGATTGAAAACTAGAACTTTGACGAATTAAAAGTTAATGCTTTTAAAGACGTAAATACAGTACAGTTTATCAGTAGAGTTTTTTCAATATATGTAGACATTAAGTGAAACTTATTGTTTTTAAAAACGTTGTGTGCCCGTAAATTTGTTATATTTGTATAGTTTAAATCCCCCATATTTGATAGATTCCTGTGGCAATACCATGCTTTTATATGAAATCTGTATTATTATCTTTTTGACTTTTATTAATTTATCGACAGGAAATTTATGGCAGGAAAAAATCAATTTGGTGCATATTTTAATCTACTTGTATGTATGTACTCGTACATGTAAATGTTTTGAAACACGTAGAGTTAGTATTTAATAGAAAATATTAGGGTACAATTACATATATTAACCCTTGTTTTACAGCCCTAATTTGTCTGCACGCACACACATACAAGTATTTTGTACATACATGTAAGTATGTATCTAGATTTTGCAGCAATATTGCCATATTGTTTGTCTTCTCGTCGCTGTTGCTGTTGCAGTCGCAGTTTCCGTCGCTGTCGACGCTGAAGTATTCGGCCATGTCTCGTTGGCATCCACTGCGCAAATCCCTGTAAAAGTATCTACCCTAAAATGCTGGTTCTGCGCACAAGCTCGGTTTTCGTAGTTGGCTGGGTGGTTGGTTAGTTTGTTCGGTCGATTCGTTGTGTTGCTTTGTGTTCCTGAGCACTGCGTTTGCCAACAACAACCGCTGGGCAGAGCTGCCGACGTTGGCGTTGACGTCGAAACTGACGCCGGCAGCGACGTCAACGCTGATGTTGCCATTAAAAATGGTATAAACACACAGGAACAAACGCACAACGAGAAAGAGATAAGCGTTGACAGCAATTTTACGCCTTTGTCGGTGCAATCAGCCTTTTTAGGCGCCTATATATAAACACACACATATATATATATATATATATTTACATATGTGTATAAGTATGTGTGTGTAGGCATATATGTACTTTGTTTCAGCCCACTGGCGTTGACATGGTGGCGATGGCCTCTTTAAAATTTTATATCCTCACTGGAAAGCGCTGCTCCTTATTTAATATTCCATGTAATAATAGTTGTCTCCCCCCCCGCTCGCCTATTATATAGAATTGTGTCTATATGAGTGCTGAATCTGCCGACTTTTGGCACAACACTGCGTATGTGTAATATTATATGTATATTGAATTATGCGACACTGTATCATATACAGGGGTCAAAATATAAGTTGCTTGAATGGTATTTGTGAAGCTATTGCTTATAATATTACTGATTAACTTTTCTGATTTAGTTTCTGAATTTTATTTTTCATTTCAATTAAAGTAAAAGAGCAATAAAATAGTAGCACTATTGAGTGTTTATTATTCAGCCACATATTTAAATCCAGATTGCTTTCGTCACAACTCCCATGTTATTTATATTACATATAATGGTATTTTAAAATAGCCCAATAAGAGCCAGTACTACAAGTAAGGACATTAAAGGGTTAAGTCATTGCGTAGTGCTATAAATATTTTACGGCCTGTTCAATGAAATGGCTAACAACATTAACCCATCAACATCATCATCATTGGTACACAAAAATAGAAGAAAAATTTGTAACAACGTGACTAGCTCCAGTGAGCTGCTATCCTTTCGAACACCCACCCAAACACACCAGGGATCCATAAGCATGTCCATAGAGCTGATGCGACACAGTGTGTGTTTCGCTTTCGATTTTCTAGGTGGCATTTTCTTCCATATATCCTGCCAATGATATATGTATGTATATGTGTAAGGAAAGTGGGCGTTCGATGCCTGCGGGAGCTCCACCATGCGTAACCACGAAGCTGGCTGGCTGGCTGGATGGCTGGATGGCGTGTGGTGTGACGGTAGGGGCATATCACGTGTTGGCTCGTATGCTGTCGGCAACTGCCAGCTTTCGATGTCGAGCAATGCGTTGGGTGAGAGGGGAGCGGAGGAAGGCAATTTGCTGCATTGCGCGTGAAACTAGCAACATTTGCCGCCATTTTCGTGTTGCTTGGCCACCGTTGCTCACACACACACACACACGCACACAAACGAATATACATACGAGTATATGTACATACATATACAAGTATGTGGTTTTGTTGGCGGTTGCTAACTGTTTATGGGCGCGTGTTGTATAAGCCAAGGCGTTTATGGCCATCAAATGTATGTTGCCTGTTCATTATCACATCTTCACAGCATGCACTCTTCCACCTCCTTCTGCCATCTTTTTCCTGCCCACCAATTGCGAGTATTTAACGTCCATTGCAGACGGACACATTGACTTTACTGACCGACGTATACGAGTATATGATGGATATATGTACTCGCACGTATCCTCTGAGGCAGTGAATAGGCACGCACGTGCGTGTGTGTGTGTGTGTGTGTCTAGGTTAGCGTGTCTGTGGGACCGATTCCTTAACCTCCTGCCCACTGCCTGTCTGTCTGCCTGCATCCTAGAGCTGGCAACGTCTGTTCTGTTTTGTTGGCTTTATATCTGCAGTCTGATTTGATTTATTGTTGTTGTCTCATATTGTTCTAGCCAGGCTCGTCGTTTGTTAACCCAATTCACGTTGCTTTGGTGGCCATCATCCTCCTCGTTGCTGTCGTCACCAACGACGTCCCGTTGTCTCGTCATGTTTTGCTCTCTTCTTAATTTGGGTCAAGTGCATTGGGTCCGCCATTGGCGTATAGCACTCCTTTTGCCAGGGCTGCCATCACACTGTTGGCTGACTGCAAGTATTGTAGCTCCCCAAAAAGTTTCTTCACTTGTATACCAAGTACAAGTATTTATGGGATTTCATGAAGGTTAATGGCCACATAAACTGCGCGGCCATTTGTGCATATACTATTATGTATATATGTACATACAGAGTTAATCCATATTGCAACCACATAAATACAAGTATATATAAGCACAGTACATATGCTCATGCTACAGTACTCAAACCACTCAAAAGTCAGCCCGCATTTTCATAATACAAATATTTTACCTATTTACTTGAACACACAACCAAGCATATGAAAATATAAATATGTACAGTATATACATATAGTGTACAGTAATATCTCTATTTAATGCAGAATTGAAAATAAGGCTCTTTGAGAATTACTGAAGCAACCATTAATAAAATTGATGTGAAGCATTAATAAGCTTAAAAAATTCGAGTAACTTATTTTTGCAATTTTGGTGGACTTTTATATTTAAGTGTTCTTCTTAACAATAAAATTTGAAAAAGTTTTTGAACATACCCAGCAAATAAAACTAGCCAATAGCTGATAAATCAGATTACAATTATCAGGCCTGAATTTTTTAAAATTAGAACAACTCTGGCTTTCTTTCTAGATGGTTTAAAGCAGTTTATATGGAAAATTTTTAAAGCATTTCATGTTTGAAAAGTTTAATTTTTAGGACGTATTAAACCAAAACCAGATCGATTTTTGTACCGTCAAATAAAACGCTGAATAACTTTCTACTCCCGAGTTTGTTTGTAATTGAAATATAAAGTCATATCAATTTTAAAAAGGTCTTTCTGTTTTCCTAATTAATGAAAAATGATTTTTCATTTTGAATAGGCGAAAATTCTTGCAGTACAGAATAAAGAAACTATCTGAATAGCAATAGAGTTTCGGGGCCTAATTAAAGATATTTTACTGTAAATTCGCGCACACACAAAAGTATGTGCATGTGTGGATACAATCAAAAATTGCATTATTGATATACTTTATATACATACATATGTATGTATGTCTGTATGTATGTTTGAGTGCCTTTGTGTACATGGAATGCGTACAGTTGTCAACACAATGTTCGCCAATATTCAATTATGTTGCCAATGCAATTATGAATATTTAATGGCATTCATTTGCATAGGTAGAGGCATATTTATGCAAAGCATATAAATAATATATCATTAATAATAATGTATAAATAAGTGGGTTGTTGGTTGGCACTCCTAGTTGGGTTAGAAGACACATTCCCTTGTCAAAGTTCAAGTTTCTTGCTATCGCCAGCATCATAATTTAACTTTCGGGAGCGCTTTAATTTGAAATGAATATTTAGTTTAGTCGTTTCGAAAGAATTGAAATTTATAAGTGTTTTGCATATTTTCTCTCGTTACAGCAAATAAGCCCTGTCTGTAGAACTTTTTTGTAACTTTCGAAGAAGAAAAGCGCAAGAACTTAAGCAACCATGAGCGGGGAACGTCCGAAGCGTCCACTTTCTGCTTACATGCTGTGGCTCAACGAGAACCGCGAACAAATTAAAAAGGAAAATCCCGGTAGCAAGGTCACGGACATTGCCAAGCGAGGCGGTGAGCTGTGGCGTGGCTTGAAAGACAAGACGGTGAGTAACAGTGGCACTTGCAACGTCTAACTAAGTTGTAACGCAATACCTTTTGCCTTCTTCTTGCAGGAGTGGGAACAGAAAGCCATCAAAATGAAGGAGGACTACAATAAGGCGGTAAAGGAGTACGAGGCAAACGGTGGCACAGACTCCGGTGCACCCAAGAAGCGAAAGAAGGTTGCCGCCAAGCCCGCCAAGAAGGTTAAGAAGAAAGAGTCATCCGAGGAGGATGAGGAGGATGAGAGCGAGTAAATGTGGCGTCCATGCGCCGATTCTCGTATAAGTTTTAAACACACATTTTATTAATGTAATTTTCTAAGTGACATAAAACAAAATGAAAAACCCACAAAAAAACAAAACAAAAACAAAAACAAAAACAAAATACATCGTAAAACAAAGAGAAAAACCCTTAAAACCTTCAATTATGCACTAAAAAGCATAAAAACAAACCATAAAATAAGTTACAAATTATATAAATTACAGTGACACAAACATAAAATAGCAACTTTTCTGTTTTTTTCTTGCTTAGGTTTGTATGTATGGAAGTGTGTATGTTCAATTATTTTTATCCGCGAGGCTCGTTATATATACTACAAGTATAGCGGCCATTTAGGCATTCTACATAGTCGCTTATTTTCGATTTTTCGATTCCATTTAAGTCATAAATTAAAGTTTCTACTCTCGATTCGTCCAGTTCTGGCACTGTGCACTTTAACCTTTACAATTATGTTTAGACATATAAAATAAATGAAAATGTTTGGTCATACAATCTAATGTAAATGTTTGTGTATAGAGTGCGTTAATAAAAATATAATATAAAACACAAACTTCGCAATTTTTAACTTTGAATGTAGTTGATCGTGTAAAAATGTTGTTAGCGAATGATAAACAATTACGAGTATGATGAGAATTTTTTCTTTAATATGTAGCCAATTGTCGATTCATTCGTTAAAGAGAACAACAACTTTTCACCAAATAAAAAATTTAAATCAAGAATTCAACAAGTTATATATACAAACATTTAAATATATCTACAAATTTAACAAATAAGAGCAGATTCAATATAAAACCTTACAAATATGTATGTAATTGTAAATGTAGAGCTGATCGAAAATATTTAAAAATTATATAAAAATACAAAAACAATTTATATACACAATCTTTTTTTTCAAAACTAATGTCGACTCACATGATTGAGTTCTTGGAAATTTTATAGAGAACACATACTTACATATTGAGTGGGAAAAGATGTTCCAACCATTATTATTATACTCCGACTCTATATTTACACAGCAATATTCTAAAAAATCTTTAATATTAAAAAGATTTGATGAATAAAACAAAGGCTTTTTTCATGTATCAATTCGAGTTGTGTGTAACAGTCGAGTAATAGGCGGGCATGGAGGTGGGCGTCATTTTGTGTGGTCGGGGGGATTTAAAACCAAGCATCAGAGAGTACTGTTTAAAATAAAACCATGATATTTTACAAAGTTAAATTACTTGCACTTTAAAATTGTTACTTCTTTCCAAGGTTTAAGCAGCGCGTGGCAGGGGAGGCAGGTGGGGAGGGGGAATTTAATTTTTTTGGCCCCCCTTTAGAAAAGTTGCGTACGAGCTTGCGTCTTTCATTATTTATCTGATCGTTAATTCGGACAACAATGCAGTGGTTTTTATGAACAATAGTGGTCAACTGAATAGCGTGCAAATGTATCTTACCATTATTTTTATAAAAACTGGGTGTTTACTATTTGTAAATTAACAAAAATGTTATTTTATTATTACTCCAAATCGGCCTGCCGCTCTCACCATACAAGTAACGCGTTTGATCACAAGCTTAACATGTCAGCTATTGTATATGTATATATGAGAGATACGAATTACATTTAACAGGGATTTAGTTCATACATATAGCAGCTTAATCTAGTAGGTCCTCCGGTTGTCTCAGGCCTCTTCAGCCGGGAGATGGAGCGATCATCAGGGAGTTGCACATCTGCTGCGCTGATTCTGAAGCCTTTCATTGTACTATACTGCCTGACCTGGAGCTCTACGTTTTGCAGACTTAAGTCATGGTGCAGATTGATGCAGATGTTTGGTGAGAGTAATCAGATTGTGCGGCTTCAAGGTGAGCTTCGTGTCTAAGACAATACCAAGATATTTGGCCATATCAGCGTTTCTCCATTTAGCCATACTGCTGGCCGCAGTCGTAGCGCAGCGTGTGGGAGCACTTACGTGGATCGACCCGGGTGTTCCATCTACAGTAGGTGCTGGAATTCTTATTTAGTACAGAAGGGGTCACAGCACGCATTTCTGGGATACGCAACTGCTGAATGTTTCGGTTACTTGGGAACTCTAACCTTTATCTGGAACTGTCGCTCAGCCAGATAGAAACGTAACAGCAGGTAGAAGAGACCAGGGAGTTGTTTCTATAATCTAAAGATAAGTCCAGTGTAACAAAAGCCTGTTTCACATCGACTAAAACACAATTACAGAAAAAAAAACAAGTAATGGAATGGAAAATCGGGAAAACCCCCATAGGGGGGAAGTGGGGGAAAATAAAAAAAATAAAACAAACTTGCACAGCGTACACATATAACGCATCTTTGTGCACGGTTTGGTGTCTCTACCTCTTATAGTCTCTGAGATCCAGATGTTCATACAGACAGACGGACAGACAGACAGGGCTAGATCGACTCGTCTCGTCATGCTGATCAAGAATATATATACTTTGTGGGGTCTGCCACGCATCCTTCTGCCTGTTACATTATCAGCTTCCGCAAACCTAATATACTCTTGTACATTTTATGTACAGAGTATAAAAATTAATAAACATCATAATAAACTATTCCAAATATACAATAGAATCAACTCGACAATTTTTGTCCAGAACATACAACCACAGCCACAATTTTCATTGACTATACTTTTAAATCCAAATTTTCATATTAAATATTATGGAATATCATTCAAGTATACCGACCATTCAGATTTCTGTAGAGTAAATCTTTAATTTGAACCAGAAATAAATATTAATAACCCTTCATAACCTAAAGCTAGGGTAACCTAAAGTTAAGCGCATTATTTGCTAAAATTAAGTCCAGCTGTAAGTGCTGCCGAATTGGAAATATTTACTCAAATAAATTTAAATTTCGTATTTGAACAGTTGTAAATACAGCAGCGCGTATATGGTATATATTTAAAAATCAGCTAGATAATCTGGGATCCAACTTCTTCGGCAAATGTTATCTAAAAGAAGTGTTTGCTTAGTTTTCATTCAAAATAATACACTATCCTTAGCATACTCATTTAGCGGATGTTATTGGACAAAAATAAAAATAAGTGTCATGCACATCTAGTCTCGACCCCTCCAGTGTAGCCAGAAGCTTTTGCAGGAAGAGTAAACTGACTTTTCTTTACTTTTGATTTTAAAATTGAATTTCAATCTTCATATCTCCATTATCGTAAACATTGCTAAAAGCCCCATTCATTTATTTCATTTAATGTTGGTATAATGAATTTAATTATTCCTATAAGCACTTAGCTATACTATACTTGTACATTTCATATATACGGCCTGTGCTTTGTTTTGCTTGCTCAACTGATTATATAATACATTCAGATTTAGTACCTTAACAATACAAGTTGACATATAGTATCCAAAGTAATCCTACCTGGAGCACATCCGCGCGAGATTTATCGCCAAGTTGTGGTTTATTTTTATCTAACCATCTTTGCAAACCATATTCGTTTTAGCCTTCGCAAAGCTCTGGTCCTCTGGTCCGCATATTGCGATGCCTCAGTAGTCTCGCGCTATATCTAAGCATACAGCTGCACTTCCATGGTGAACAGTTTTAGGACTCAGTGAAGGTTTAAGCTGCCCACTTACCAGGGGCAGTTAGTTATTTGCCGCAGGACTCGGATTTGAGGTACCTGGATTCTCTTATAGCTAGATTTTTCAGAAATTCTCAGATTCCAATTCCCATAAAGCTATATGGGTGCTATATATTTATTAATTAGCCATCGCAATTGTTGCATTCTTTGGCCAGATTTCTTACTGTAGGTATGGTTTTAATATACTAAAGAATAAAATAAAAAAAGATGTGTCTAAAAACATTTCTGCCAAAATACTCATTTGAAGTCACCTGGTTTTGGCTGAAAATAAGAAAAAAAAAGAGGTCTGCTATAAAGAATTGTTGACATAAAACAAGCAGAGGAATCTTCGACAATATTTTGGGATGATACACAACACTGCCCTCCGTTTAGTCAACGACGAAAGATAAAAAAACCGTTATTTGGCAACTGAATGCTCAAGTTGCACCTGAATTAAATAAAACAACTGAATTATAATAATATGATTGTGCTTCCGTTGTAAATAATGTATCCACCTGCTCTGAAGTCTTCCAATTAAATAAGAATGCAAAATTGATTGTTTTTGTTTTCTTATTGGTTTTGCACCACCGAAATTATATTTGTAAAATATTATGGGTCCCGATGAATTGAGAAATGAAATTGTATATGGCTGTGTTACAATTTCATTTCTGAAGTGCTTAGTGAAAATGAATTGAAATGTTGTGGTATGTATGATGTACAGATTTAAAGATTGTACAGGGCATTGCTATTACAGGTTATACAATGTCCAGTATACCTATATTTTTTGACAATATGTAAGCATTTATATTTGCTCATATTTTTCATATTTATATTACTTACACGTTTATTCAAATACAAAACATTGAATGCTAGGGTTTAAGCCTTATAACTACAATACCTAATTCACATATTTTCTTCGAAGAACAATAAACGTTAAGACTTGCTACTTTAAGGAGCTTACGAAATGATGCACACGTACTGGAGTACTGGCCTAAAAATGTTTTGCTATTTATTTACTAAGGGGGTAGATATTCTAAAAATGTAGATAAATGGCTGATGTAGAAAAAGTAACGCACAACAAACTATCGATAGAAACTTGCAAAAACCCACCACGCGCCCGTGACGAAAGCTCGGCAAAATGGCTGCTTTGCCGACCTTTCTGTAAGCAGCAAGCAGTGGGCTGATGCACTTCCTATTATTTGAACTGTTACTGTTACTGCTACTGCTACTGCTGTCGGCTGGCATTCAAACTAACCACTCGCACTCACTGGTGAGGGGAAATCTCATCGGTTTGCGTGCGAAGTTATTGTCATCGGCAGCTGTTTCGGTTAAATCGCAGCTCTTTTCACGACCCAGATTATTAGTAAAGCTTTGAATTTGGCTACCATTATGGCTAAGATTGTTAAAGTGTTTAACAGTACTGGTGTGCGCATGCGATGATTGCCTAACACTATTATTAATAATATCATTGCTATTCCGTGTACAGGGGATAGCCGTACTGGCCCCCTGCAGTCCCTGCTCATCGTCATCTTCATCGACCTCCATGTAATTAAGATTATTTGTGTAGTAAGCGTAGTAACTGTTAAGGTCTACCAAATTATTGTATCTTGAAGCTTCATCAATTCTACGATTATGACTGATTGTTGTTGTAGTTGTTGTTGGTGTTGTAGTTGTTGGTGAAAAGCTTTTACAATTTAAATTATAGATTTTAATATTTGTTTTGTTGGTGTGTATCTTCAAATGCACAGCATTGTCATGTCACACCGAAGTGCCTTGCTGTCCGGGCACTACAGATCCACAGCTTGCGTCTGGCTTAAATGCCTCATTCAGACGTTCTCGACATCCGCCTTTCGATGCAAAGCAGAACTTATATATCATGTACATGGGTATGCACATCACAGAGGAGCAGGTGACTGCCCAGCCAACTTTAATGGTCCACGGCGGATAGTAATACTCCTCGCCTAACATTTCCTCATAGCCAAGTATGGAGAATATGAAAATGGTCTATCAAGGAAATTATTAAAAAGCGTACAAATAATTACATTTCATGCTTCACTTACCAGCAGAAATACTGGACTAATGTAAGCCCAACATACGCGCCAGAATATGCCCGGCCTCGTGCCCAACATTTGCTCCACGTCGGAGCTGAAGCGATCGACTCCATAAAACCAAAAGACTCCCGCCGCTTCCACAAACACAACAAAGAGTATGGCCAGTCCTGGACCATACACATTTAAGAAGTTCACCAACACAACACCTCCCTAAAATACAAGAAGTAACACATAAATAAATGAATTATTATTCAATTACCTTGTACTTATATCGTAATACAGGCAACTAAATACGAGTAAATAAATTAAGTAAAGTAAAAAATGCACACGTGTTCATTTTGCTTGCTTTTGTAACATACAGGCTACACAGATGTAGAGAGAACGTTTAGAATTGAGATTATTTAACTGAAAAAATATTGCACAAATATTTAAACAAATGTACGCGAGGGTGGATAGCTAAGAACTCTTTGGACCTATAAATAAGGACTGCCCCAAACAGAAAACAAGTAAAAAAGCTAAAGTCGGGTGTCCCAACTTTGAAATACAAGTACTCTGTACATAAGTTTAGAATAATTATAGAAATTAAAAAAGTAAGAGAATTAAAAAAAAAAAAATGGATCGATTTTAACCTTTTTTGGTATTCGTATTACATAGCAATTGCGTCTGTGTGAGTGAATGTATGCCTATGCGCATCTATTCGTGTCTGTGTAAACATGTTAGCAGTCAACCAAACAGCAACATCAACAACAGCCGCGGGCAGCGCTTGAGCAGCAAATATATGTATGGCTATAACTTCTTGTTAAATCGGTCTATCATGATGAAACTTGGCGTACGGACAATTTTTTTTATTAATTACATCTGATTGATGGGATGAGTTCGATTTAGATTGGCATTGTGGTTGTTGATTGTATTATAAGTTTAAACTTTTATTAATTATATATTTGATTTATTATGTATACTAAACAAGATAGAACGCTACAGTCGAGCAAGCCCGACAGTAAAATAGCCTGTACTCTCCACAAAAAAGAAAAATTAAAAAAAAAAAAATTAAAAAAAAAAAAATTAAAAAAAAATTAAATTATTAATAAAAATGAATGAATGAATGAATTAATTAAATTAAATGAAAATACATGTTTATGTTCAGTTTTAACAGCATACATTTACATCACGAACCTATGCGTGTTTATATGCGTGTATGTATGCAGCACAAAGTTGAACAAAAGCAGCAACAACAACAACAGCTGCGGGCAGCGCTGCCGACAGAGGCAGCGCATGAGCAGCGATTTTACTTATGGCTATAACTTTCTTCAGAATTGACCTATCATGATGAAATGGCATACGGACACATTAGTACTAACTGGATGTACCTACCAAAATTGATTTCAAAATTCCGAGAATTACGGAAGTTATAAGAAAAAACACGAATTGCGGGGAAGTGGGGGGGTGCATCGAAAAAAAACTCAAATTCGTACTTTCTCGGCCTTAGGAGAATATGGAAACCAAGTTTGGTTATTCTAGTATAAGTACTTTCTGAGATCCTTGCGTTCATACGGACAGACAGACGGACAGACGGACGGACGGACAAGGCTATATCGACTCGGCTTCTCATCCTGATCAATAATATATATACTTTGTGGGGTCTGCCACGTCTCCTTCTGTGTGTTACATACATGCGCACAAAACTAGTATAGCCTTTCACCCTTTGGGTACAGGCTATAAAAATGTATGTTGAATATTTTTAAATTAAAGTAGTACCGCATATAAAAGAATGCCTTTTATTATTCTTGTTATCATCAAGACTTATAATCAAAGCATACGAGTATTTCATTTTTCCAATTTTTGCTTGGCTACCCATTTGCACCTTAACAGCTCTGATTCTAAGTAAGTTTATTGCATCGATTCAGACAATATCTAGTTACATTGACGATTAACAATATACCATTGCAACGTACATATATTTACAGTTGAAGAACTTGTATTTATTTTCGATCCCATATTAAATTTGTTTCTTTTTTATCTCCTGTACCCGTGGGGTAAAAATATAATGTTATCATCGATACTTGTTCTCATCGATTTGTATGATTTTCCATAATTAACCTTCCTTAAAAATGTGGTGAGAAAGGATATAAGATATAGTTTTTTTGTTTTGATATTTTCCTTTCTATATCCAGCTAGATTTTGGAAGCAATGGTTAAAAGATTTCGGTAGTGTTCATAATTTTAAAGCTGTGGATAGTTTAACATACCAATGGAGTCATTGTACTATTAAGAAGAAGTAACAATCAATTGGAAATTCCAAAACATAAAATAAACTCGTCCTTTCTCGGAACTGTGCGGCATTGGAGAAACGAAATGACTTCATTTGGAGCGGAAATTCCAGAAGAACACGGATTTTATCCAACATTCAAGGTGATTTATAATGACGAAAACATGAGATTTTAAATCAGTATTACTGTATTATCATTATTATCGTTTTATCGTTACAACCTCTTGAAGATGCATAACACAAATTCTTACAAATGTACCTCATGGGCAATATGAAGGAGCAACTCGATCGAGATCAAGAGATCAACACAGCAGTTAAAAGAGCAATTCTTCACGATCTACAGCAACTGCTTCATAAGCATCATGCATTGGTCAGTCTGCACAAGACTCGATCGCAGAGAATATATCAAAATATTTATGTTAAAAATTAGCACAAAGATGCCTTATGTGTGTACGCTGTGTAAGTTTGTATTATTTCTTGATTTCCACGAAATCGTGTTTTGCATATATTTTATTATATTGTTATTTATTGTTAAAAGTATATCGATGTTTTAAGCCTTGTCACGAAACAATAACAACAAATTTTGATTATATAACTTCATCAAATCCAACTAAGTTATATTTAAAGGAGAAATAGTGCGACATAACGAATTTATAATATGTTCTAACCAATTAATAAAGCCGTACTTCCAAATGGAAAACAAGAAAGAAAACGTCACGGATACATATCAAGAGCCGCAAATACATTTGCTGATCCTTTCCCTAATAACTTTGATATCCGTGGGCGGCTCTTTACAGAGGATATCAAATATACTCGAGCACTGGTCCACATAAGTACAGATTAACAGAATCCCTTGGAAAGGTTTCAAAAATCATGTTTAATTTACCAACAAAACTAAATAGGGTAGGTTTCATCTCGCTAGTTAATAAATTCGACAGTAAGAACTTTACTCTGAAAACGATTCTTCGTTGTCTGACGATTTGCCTGTTAACCATCCCTATTTTATAGGCGCTTGTAAGCTGAATGTATCGTACAATTCCAATTGTTTAAATAAACTTTTAAAAATATGTATATTCGCAACCTAAATATTTACATTTCGAAGCAAGCTCTGTGGAGTAATTTCAGTGACTTTATTTAATAAAACCAAAATAGGTGGCAGTGCATTGGCATTGAGCCGAGTTCAGAATGGCGCTGAGTAATCTTAATATTGACCTTTCAGGATTTACTTTTCTAACAATAATATACTATATATAAATATATACTATATTTGGTTACTATATATAAATATATACTATATTTGGATAATTTATATTTCAAAAAAATAAATAAAAAAAATTAAAAATACTCTATGTATAAAATACTCTATAATATTGACAAAGTCTGAATTAGAAAAAGAAATATAAGGTGTTGGATTTTTTATGATAATGATATCAACTATAAACTATATAGTGTATTAACGAACTGATATGAAACATACTCCTCTAACTAAAAAAACACTTTTTTTTCAACAATTTTCTTGTCTATTGTAAAAGTAACTAAATGTTGCATATAGACTGTTGATTATACCCTATACCCAAGGGGTAAAAGGGTATACTAGTTTAGTGCTAATGTATGTAACACACAGAAGAAGGCGTGGCAAGTTCCGCTATATGCATATTGTTGTTCAGGATGACGAGTCTATGTAGCCATGCCCGTCTGCCCATCCGTCTGTATGAACGCAAGGATCTGGGACAGTACAAGGGCTAGAATAACCAAACTTGGTATCTAGGTTATTCTAAGCGCAATACAGATTGGTTCACAATGAGGATAACAGTAATGTTATGTTATAAATCAATTATTGAAAAAGCGAATTCCTATCTCTGCCAATTCATGTGATATTTTGCTGTCCATTGGAGTCGGTGCACTTTATTAGCAATAATACCCAGTTGTGGAGTCTTTAATAATAATTATTTACTGTCCTAAAATATCTTTCTCTGTACACTGGCATTTTTAACAGTTGCTATTATTAGCATATTGGCTTAAAATAGTCTGAGTTTGTTTTAAAATTTAAAAAGTTATTTAGACAATTGTTTTTGGAGTTGTGACCTTTAAGATGTAATGCCATCGTGGGACTATAAATACGAAACCCTCCGTGGGATAATTCAACAGTCCGCAGCCTAGTGTTCATAGCGAAGTTATAGAGAAATCAATATGAAGTTGACTCTAGCTAATCTGATAGGTGAGTAAAGAAAAGGGAATTATTGATCATGAAAAATTAATCAAAATTACGTTTGATACTTTTAAAAGCGATCCTGCTTATAATGAATTGTTCGAGTCAGTCCTCGAGCACATTGATTGGCCTCGGTGAATGTGAATGCGAACAAAAAACAACGACATGTGCAACAAAAACAACAACAACAACAACAACAACACCAAAACCCGAAACATCGTCGTGTACTCCAAAAACCACGGAATGCGAACCAAAAACAACGACACGTGCAACAAAAACAACAACAACAACACAAAAACCCGAAACATCGTCGTGTACTCCAAAAACCACGGAATGCGAACCAAAAACAACGACACGTGCAACAAAAACAACAACAACAACAACACAAAAACCCGAAACATCGTCGTGTACTCCAAAAACTACGGAATGCGAACCAAAAACAACGACACGTGCAACAAAAACAACAACAACAACAACACAAAAACCCGAAACATCGACGTGTACTCCAAAAACCACGGAATGCGAACCAAAAACAACGACATGTGCAACAACAACAACAACACAAAAACCCGAAACATCGACGTGTACTCCAAAAACCACGGAATGCGAACCAAAAACAACGACACGTTCAACAAAAACAACTAAATCTGTTCCAAAAACAACTACACGCGCAACAACAAAAACAACAACACAAAAACCCGAAACATCGACGTGTACTCCAAAAACCACGGAATGC